CAAGTGTGCTATAAAAAAAGAAATATATGTGTGCAAAACCATGTGTGTAGGCATGCATGCATGTATGTAACAATGAGCATTACGTGTGAGCATGTGTGGTTGTGGGTCTGCATGTTTGAGTGTGTGTGTATATCCATAGATGTATGTAAGTAAGTGTGTGTGTGGGTAGGTGGGGACCGGAGTGCACACATATGCATGTGTAGTTGTGCATGCCAAATGTCACTGTGGGGCATTGGTGGCCTATCATTTCAAGGAATGGGACTCATGACTGGACGGTTGTGAGTTTGATTTCCCACCTAGTTGCCACTGAGGTGCTCTTGAGTAAGGTACTGTACCCACTCACTACTCCAACAGTCAAATTTCGCTGTGCACCGTGTGCTGTGGTGTGCTGTGTTACTAAAATAGTCACTATTAGTTTTTAATTTTTTAGTGTCGGTGGGTAGTATTGATAGCAACACAAACCTGATTCCTTCTACCAGTCTTCTTTCTCTTAGTCTGGCTGACAGGATAACCATCTTGTTTACTGGACCAGGTTTAATACCCTGTATACAAACAAAAACATTTTTTCTATAAACATTGAACAGATATCCATAAATAAAATCAAAGCATCAGATTACTTACCATAGTCCTTGGTTTATGCCACTTTTGTTCAGTCTCTGTGCAGCTGAACACTGGGGGAACTGATGTGAGCCTCAGCTGGGAATAGTGGGCAGTTTGAAAAAGAAGAGCTGCCACTTGGCTGCACAAGGATGTACCAGCCACACAGGTACACTGGCACTCCTGTAACTCCACAGGAGTTGAATCCCTTAGGACAATCTGTTACAATAAAAAAAATCTGTTAGAGAACAAATTGTACCTGCTGCAAGTACAGTTAAAGACAATCTTTCATATAATAAATTAGTGAACTTTTGTAAGTGGAACTCTGTTAGTGAACTTTAAAAAGTGTTATGGAAAAAACAAGTACATAGAAATATGTAGTAGGGTGGGGTGAAAAAAATCTAAATTTCCAATAGGAATTTCCAATAGGGCAGAAAAGTTGTCACTGGACCTCGTTATTAAACGTGCAAAATATCTTTGAAATAGGTTAATATTTTCAGGTTCCGCAGAACAAAGAAACCGAAAGTAACACTTTTCCATTACTTTTCCTCTCTATCCAAGAATTCCAAAACTTATCCAGGTTTTCCATGACTGCGGCTACCCTGATTGAAGATGATGACACAATTTTATGCAAGATTAACTGTGTACCTGAAGCACTCAGACCTAACTGTCACCTCTCCTGACACCTTGTTTGAAACTGAGATTATCATTGGGGTTAGTATAGTACAATGCACAAAAACAACATATTCATGACGTTAACCTACCTATCAAAATGCTAACGTTAGTTAGTAAATAAACGTTACTCTATCAAGGTGCTAACTTAGGCTAGTAAACGGCTAGCAAGTATCAGAGATAGTTTAGAACTCAAAACAGAGACTTACCTTCATAGTTGTGTATGTAGCTGGACACATACAATTTAAAGACTTTGTCCTTTTTTGACATAGGCGTCTTGGATGCGGTATGAATGATGCGATTCACGTCGTTCACAGTTATCCCTGGCAGGTCCTGCAGAGATCGAGTGAAAAACGCCATAGCTCGTGCGTACCGGAAATACTGCAGCTGGCTGAAACGTCAGACCGGAAATCCGCTGCATATAGCGGATGCCGTACTATATATATATATACTGTATATACACACACACGTATACGGTGTATAGGGGACACTGTCACTTTAAGAGGTACGAGAAAGTTCGATTGAGTTTTATAGGCGTTAAGAGGGACATGCAGAGAGCGGAAAAAAACAAAGGATTTATTTAAAAAGAGAGTGGAGATTTATGGTGGCTGTTCGACGTTTTATGACGTTAAAGTATGAGGATTTGTTAATTTGAGGATTTTTATTTCAAGCATCGTTCACCTTGGATATCCTGCCTGTTTTTTTTCTTCTGGATCATTCCGTGCGAGTCCTGTTCCTGCAAGGTCTGGGTCGTCTTGGATCATCATCTTGTCACCACGGACACGTACATATCCTACAATAATTGTTGGTTTTGGTAGTAATTGAATTGGTATGACATTGAGTGCACTCAAGTATATTGTACTGAACATTTGTTTTTTTCCGTTTGTCCAACCAGAACAGGAACTATATGTTTTCTGTTGCTTTCATTATGGTCAAATGTATCATTTTCCCAATGCTATTTACCGGTGATGCTGTTAAGCAAATGCATTGTCTGAGAAAAGGGTAAATGTTTCAAAAAGTTGTAAACACAAGAAAAGGAGGACAATTTAATACATTTAAATTGTTTAGTAAGACATTGCAGGGGTCTGTAAAGTTATTGCTACATCTTCCTCTTCCTTATTAGACCAAACTGAAGAACTTGTGTTTGAAATTCCTGCAGTTAACCAGGTGTCAGGGATATGTGCCAGCGGGGTTACATGTACATTTCCGGGCTGGATTCATTTCTTAACTGAGATGAGCATTTCCGGAAAATGGAGTTAAATGTGTATATAACCGAGGTGAAATCAGTTTTAGGTTGGATATTCGACGGATATTCAGATCCACACTCTCCAGACTTAGCGGTGGGGCATCACTCACGCTAGGCGGCATAAGGCGGTCGAAAGACGGCCAGATCAATTCCACAGCCTCGGAGGCGCTCGCGCACCGCTGACTTAGGGACTGTCAACAAATTACTGTCAGAATAATAAAATACTGATTGCTTGCAATAACTTCAATGCAATGGGACCCAGTAACTCCAAAATGAGTGCATATTCTGCAAATACCTGACATGCACAGGACACAGTGAACTTTACTGGTTTTTAACACTTTATTGCATTTTAAAGCATCATTCTAAAAGGGAAAAGTGGGTAAATAGATTTCTTTCAATAGCTTCTAGGCCGTAGGAGCCTGTGACCCAAAACCTAGTACCAATTGTAGTACTACCTCAGGCCTATGGGACACAGCAACTTTAATTCAATTTTAACCCTTTGTGTACTTGATATGATTTTTTCCCTCTAAAATTAGGCCTTTTCTGTCAATAGCTTCTAGGCTGTTGGAGCCTGTGACCCAAAACCTAGTACCAATTGTAGTACTACCTTTGGCCTATAGGACACAGCAACTTTTATTTGATATTAACCCTTTGTTTAATTGATATGATTTTTTCCCTCTAAAATTAGGCCTTTTCTGTCAATAGCTTCTAGGCTGTTGGAGCCTGTGACCCAAAACCTAGTACCAATTGTAGTACTACCTTTGGCCTATAGGACACAGCAACTTTTATTTGATATTAACCCTTTGTTTAATTGATATGATTTTTTCCCTCTAAAATTAGGCCTTTTCTGTCAATAGCTTCTAGGCTGTTGGAGCCTGTGACCCAAAACCTAGTACCAATTGTAGTACTACCTTTGGCCTATAGGACACAGCAACTTCAATTCAAGTTTAACCCGTTTTTGCAGAAAAACAGACGCATGGTCAGAGCCCTTTGGTGTCCTTAAATGAAGCACAAGGTCTCCTTCAGTGTCTAATTCAGATGCATGTTGTGTTTGAATTTTTTGCTCACAGCTAGTCCTGGGAAAAAAATTTAAATCAGGACTGTAGCACCCACAAATTGCCTACTTCAGATCCAGGTGAGTTGTTGGAGACGCTCCTTATCATTCTGATGTGTATAGAAGTACAAATATATAAGAATTAAGTCCCGACCCCAAATATTTGTCCCATGATGCATTGCAAGTCAAACGTCCAAACACCACATGCATCTGAATTAGACACTGAAGGAGACCTTGTGCTTCATTTAACGACACCAAAGGGCTCTGACCATGCGTCGGTTTTTCATGCACTGGGTATGAGAATGTGTTGATGACCTAGGTCTGAGGGAAGCGGGGATTTGGAAGGATGGGATCTATAAAGGAAGGTAAGGCACAGGAGATGCCGAGAACACAGAATAAAAGCTCTGTAGGTCGCATGAAAACAAAAATACCTGACATACAATGTGGGGGCAATCCAGGCATTAAAGGCAATGGGACAGATGCAGTCACTTAGTCGTCTGACTAGGGTAGGTATGGGATGTGACAGTAAATTTCTGAAAATTTCTTAGAGGTGCTATATACTGGGTTTTATTAACATTGAACATGATTGGGGTGACAATTTCACAATAAAAATACATATAGAGCGCTTGAAGTGATACAAAACTTGCTGTGTCCCATAGGACTCATGAAGTACTACAATTGGTACTAGGTTTTGCGTCACAGGCTCCTACGGGCTAGAAGCTATTGACAGAAAAGGCCTAATATTTGAGAAAAAAAATCATATCAAGTACACAAAGGGTTAAACTTGAATGAGAGTTGCTGTGTCCTATAGGCCTGAGGTAGCACTACAATTGGTACTAGGTTTTGGGTCACAGGCTCCAACGGCCTAGAAGCTATTGACAGAAAAGGCCTAATTTTAGAGGGAAAAAATCATATCAATTAAACAAAGGGTTAAACTTGATTTAAAGTTGCTGTGTCCTATAGGCCAAAGGTAGTACTACAATTGGTACTAGGTTTTGGGTCACAGGCTCCAACGGCCTTGGAGCTATTGAAAGAAAAGGCCTAATTTTAGGGAATTAAGCCGGCTAGCTTGCGTGATGCCCCGCCGCTAAGTCTGGAGAGTGTGGATCTGAATATCCGTCGAATATCCAACCTAAAACTGATTTTGAGTTCAACCGAAATGAAAAATAAATATAAAATAAAATGAATCTAAAATAAAAGTCTATATGGAAATACGAGTTGCGCAGTATAGAATAAGGAAAAGAAAACTTAAGTATCGAGAGCAGTAAGTATTCATTGCAGAGAAATATTAACTATTAATATATATAGCCTATGTATAAATGTACAGCTCTGAGACCATGTAACTAACGCGAAGTGCTTTAGAAATGTATTACTATTATTAGGCTTTGATTTGCTAACTTGCGAAAAAGTTTTGCACAGATTTCCTGTTTGTACTAATTGTTTAATTATAAAGAGCAGTCCGTCATTCCTATGGATTATTGCAATCATTGCGTAATTAACAGAGACGTATTTAAATAGTCCTCCGTACTTGCGTAGTAAATAGCGCTTTATTTGGTTGGTTTAATTACATTTTTCCACAATAGTGAGCCCCGTGTCGGATATTTCATTGGCAGACTGCGATACCCGGAAGCTGCTTTCTTTGCAGATATAATCCCGGAGCCCTGATCGTCTAAGCCATGGCTCACCGTTCCCATGAAGAGGTATGGCGATAACGGGCTAACATGTAATACATGCTGTTAGGGCTGCAAATACCAGACTCTGCACAGCAGAAAAGCTGAAGTTCACACATGAACTATTTTTACCCAGAAGTCACTGAAAATAGCACAGAAAAACTCGCTTTCCGGAGTGCGCTTCTCTACTACACCAAACGTAAATGTAAAAAGTGTATAGAATGATAAAATAGAATGATATATATTCGTTATTGTCTTAACGTGCTATTTTTAGCATGAGTTATTTTATGGTGTTAAGCCTGTTTTTAATGTGCTGTATTGGTTCTTAAACTGCAGTATTTTTTTATTGCTGCTTATCCTGGACATGTGTCTCTTGCAAAAAGAGATTTTAAATCTCAGTAGGACCAACCTGGTTAAATAATGGTTGAATAATGATATTTGATAAACACACAAGTGATTATTATAGTAATGATATACGCATGTCCAGCAGACACATAAGAATCCGAGGAAGAAAATTGACTTATGTTACTGGAAAGGTCAGTGTGTGTGTCTGAGTGACCGTGTTCAGGCTTCTGAGGTCTCATGAACTCACCTCTTATCCTCTTCACACTCAGGTCTCGCTCGCTGGCCTCTTGCTGGATTACCTGAAGGAGCTCAGTGGTGCCCAGCTGAAGGAGTTTAAATTTAGACTGAGTACCCCAGTATATAAAGAGTTAAAGCCCATTCCTTGGGGTCAGCTGGAGGACATTAAAGATGAACCGGACATCGCCTCCATAATGAGAAGTTTCTACAGTGAAGACAGTGCTCTCAAAGTCATGCTTGAAATCCTGGGGAAGATGAACCTGAATGACCTTGCTTTGAGACTTAATAAAGACCTGCAGTGGAGTAATCATATTTTTAACTTTTCTTGTGTTTCTCCGAAAATGTAACATTTTTTAAGCTCTTCAAAAAGAACATTGTATTATATAGCATGATAAGGAAATGATTTTGAAATTCTCTCTTTTTTAAGGTAACGAGGCAGGAAGGGAGCTGGGTGACAGGACTACTGGCCCATGGTGTGTTCAGTATTTCTGTTCCATACTTATGTATAGGCACACACTGGGGACAAACATAAGAATCCAGATATTTATTCTTTGATTAGCATATTAAGTTTATGAAAGAGGACCCTTCTTGAGTCAGTATTTGAGGAAGTCAAAAACCCATTAACACGCTGTCTTCTTTGTACCTACACAGTGCCAGTGTGCAGATGGACGATGAGCTCCAATCTAAATGTGACATCCAGAGTGTGTATATGTATTTGTATATGTAAGAGTGTGTTTATACAACAATACATTTTGAGGAATTATATAATAACTTTGGCCCTTACATTTCAGGCAAGAAGTACAGAGACGTCCAAAGACAAATTAAAAGCAGACTAAAGGAGAAGTTTCAATGTATATTTGAGACATTACCAAAACAAGGGAAGACCATCTTCCTCAATGATATCTACACGGAGCTGTACATCACAGAAGCTGGGAATGGGGGAGTAAATAATGAACACGCGATCCGGCAGATTGAGACAGAATTCTGGAAAAATGCTTCCCCAGAACACACCATCAAATGCAGTGACATCTTCAAACCTCTCCCCAGCCAGAGGAAACATATCAGAACCGTTCTGACTAGAGGTATCGCAGGTATTGGGAAAACGGTGTCTGTGCAAAAGTTTGTTCTTGACTGGGCAGAAGAAAGAGAAAACCAAGACATGGATTTTGTATTTACTCTTCCTTTCCGTGACCTAAATCGGATGAAGGAGAAACAGTGTAGCCTCATTCAGCTCATTCATCGGCACTTTCCAGAAATAAAAGAAATGGAAAAGATCTTGTGGGAGAACTTGAAGACTGTGTTTATCCTTGATGGCCTGGATGAATGCCGTCTTCCCCTTAATTTCAAAGACAATGAGACCTGGAGCGATGCAACAGAGACCACTACAGTTGATGTGCTGTTAACCAACCTTATCACAGGGAATCTCCTTCCCTCTGCTCTCCTCTGGATAACCTCCCGGCCAGCAGCAACCAATCAGATCCCGCCTGACTGCATCCAACAGCTGACAGAGGTACGGGGGTTTAATGATGCACAGAAGGAAGAATACTTCACCAAAAGGTTCAGCAACAAGGTCCTGGGCAACAAAATATTTGAGCACATTAAGACATCAAGGACCTTGTTCATCATGTGTCACATACCGATCTTCTGCTGGATTTCAGCAGCTGTACTTGAGAAACTAATAGATGAAGAAGTCAATAACGAAATACCCCAAACTCTGACCCAAATGTACACTCACTTCTTGCTCATTCAAATAAGCCTTAAAAAACAAAAATATCAAGGGAACTATGTGAGAAATTCCAAATTGTTGTTGAAGGAAGATAAAGAAATGATTCTTAAACTTGGTGAGCTCTCCTTTCATGGCTTGGAAAAGGGGAAACTGATATTTTATGAGGATGATCTAGAATCTTATGGCATTGATGTCCGTGATGCGTCTGTGTATTCTCATCTCTGCACGGAAATCTTTATTGAAGAGTCTAAATTCTACCAAGAAAAAGCATACTGTTTTATACACCTGACCTTTCAGGAGTATCTCGCTGCTCTGTATGCCGTTTACAAATTCACACAAGAGAACAAAAATGTCCTGCACCCATACTATGGGGTAGAAAAGCAAGAACAATGTGAAGTGACAAATAAGCATGATGTCAAGGAGGAAAAAAACAATATTTTTCAAATGTGCAAGTTTATACATCGTCTCTCCAAACGAAAAAGAGCCTCATTGCCTACTTTACACAAAAGTGCCATATACCTGGCCTTGTTGAGTGAAAACGGGCATCTGGACCTTTTTCTCCGTTTCCTTCTGGGCTTCTCACTAGAATCTAATCAGACTTTGCTTGAAGGTCTGCTGACATCAACAAGAAATGCAAACTGGAGTGCTAAGGTGACAGTCAAGTACATCAAGAAGACGATCAAGGTGGACTATCCTCCAGATAGGATTATTAATTTTTTCCACTGCCTGAATGAATTGAATGACCATTCACTAGTGGCGGAAATCCAGACTTACTTGAAAGCAAGAAATCTTACAGATACCAAACTGGAACCGTACCAGTGCTCAGCCCTCAGCTTTGTGTTACTTACAAAAGAGGATGTGCTGGAAGACTTTGACTTTAAGGCCTACGGGGATGCAATCATCTGTTTAGAGAGGTTATTACCAGTCCTGAAAATTTGCAGGAATGCCATGTGAGTACCGGTTTATCTGTAGTAGTTTGAACATTTATCTAAACATTTAGATAAGTTTTTAGAAATCTAGTAAAACGAAATTGGACTTTTGCAATAAATAAGTTTAAATCAATTTTTTGAAAAATGCTTTATTTTACCAATCCATGAGCACAAACCACCATATCACATATATATATATATATATATACATATATATATACATATATATATATATATATATATATATATATTTTACAGTTTTGTTGTTCTTCTGTTTCAGTAATTGGTTACCTGCTAGTTACCTAGTTGTCTGCCATACTGCTGTGATTATAATTCACACAGCAGTGCAGACAGACTTGGGTACTTGACTGTTTCTGCTATGGAAGTTTTATTGGACAAGAACATACCTGTGTAAATGTGTAGCTAACATCCTCCTTTCATCAATGGGCAGGCTAGACAGTTGTAATCTTAGAGATTCGTCATTTGAATTAGTGGCATCAGCTCTCAAAGTAACTAACCATGTGAGAGAGCTCAACCTGAGCTACAATGTGCTGCGGGATACAGGACTGACGTTTCTGGCTCGTCAACTGAGCAGTCCTCACTGCAGATTACAGACACTTCGGTGAGTACTCTAGACCGCAACATTTGCTTTGTTTCGAATTGAAAGATGATCTGCAGGATGTTAAGACTGGGAAATTGTAAACTGGGACTTTGACTTTCCCTGCCAGCCCCAGGAGGTTGGGCTCCTCCTCTGAGTCTGGTTCCTCCAAAGGTTTCTTCCTTCTAGGGAGTTTTTCCTTCCCACTGTCACCTCTGGTTTGCTCACTGGGGGTTTTGGGTGGGGATGCTGTAAAGCGCTTAGAGACAATGTAATGTTGTGAAAACACACTATACAAATAAATTGAATTGAAATTGAATTGCAGGATGTTTTGCTCTCCTTTCTCCAGGCTATCGAGCTGTTATATCACTAAGGTAGGCTGTGAGATCCTGGCCTCAGCTCTGAGCTTAAACGCCTCACACCTGAGAGAGCTGGATCTGAGCTACAATGATGTAGGAGATGGTGGTGTGCGAGTGCTTTGTGCCGAATTGATCCGTGCAGGTTGTAAACTTGAGAAGTTGAAGTGAGTACAAAAAGGATGACTTTATTTTCCAAATAGTTCCTTTTTCCTTCTACATATAAAGGGCCTCACATACTATTTTCACACGGGTCTGGGTGGGTGAATGGCACTCCTGATTAACAGCTGAAGGTCTTCTCTTGACAGGTTGGGTAACTGCTGCCTCACAGAGGTGTGCTGTGGAGATCTGGCCTTACTGTTACGCTTTGAGCTGAGGGAGTTGGAACTGAGAGACAATGATCTCAAAGACTCAGGAGTGAAATTACTTTGTGGTGGACTTGAAGATCCCAAGTGCGGACTACAGCGACTCGGGTGAGAAGTGTTTGTTAGCTCTTTATGTTAAGTATATTAATTATTTATTTATGAATGGCAGTAAAATTATACATTATTGTTATTTACTACATAGGCATAAATATTCAGAGTTTTAAAATAATTAAAATGAAAAATTTGAAGGCACAAGATTATAAAACATTAATGTAGCTGTAATGCAAGTTTATTTATGGCTTGTGATTGAAGTGAAAACTCAGATGCTGCACTGAAGCAGTGATTCTGCGTAGTTCTTGAGTTTATTGCAGTGAGTTGTCAAACCCGCAGTAAACATTTACGTGAGTCAGTCATTCTTCCTGTCTGCAGACTGTCAGGCTGTTGGGTCACAGAAGAAGGCTGTGTTTTCCTGAGTCAAGCCCTTCATTCAAACCCCTCACACCTGAGAGAGCTGGATCTGAGCTACAATCACCCGGGTGACTCTGGACTGACAATGATCTCTGCTGTGCAGGAGGATCCCAGCTGTGTACTGGAGAAGCTCTTGTGAGTGTTCCCGATTGGCTACTGTCGCTGCCCCTGTCCATCAGGGGATATAGGTTGATTTCTAAGAATCCTTTGCTGTTAATGTGTATGTGTGGAGCCTCTGTACTGACAATCACATATCAGTGCTGCCAATCATCCAACCCTCGTCATTCTGATTTTGCCAATTTGTAGTGACGACCATTGTGGAGAGGACAGAGACAAGCCAGGGCTGCAAAAATGTAAGTTTGTTTACATAAATACACTGCACTCTGACACGATCAAACCCATTTCTCTATAGTGTATATTCCTGCACACACTTTTGCATTGTTTGCAGGTTACTCCTTCTGTGTAGTGTGTTTCTCATGTGTGGTACATCAATGCCATGTCATACAAGCCAAAGACACAAGTATCTTTCATAACCAGTGTTTATTATCTGACCCGCAGATTTCTGCAGTATCAGTCTGGATCCCCTAACTGCACACATGTGCTTGTCCCTATCTGATGGGGACCGAACAGTGACATGTGAAGACATATGGACAGAGAGGTATCCCAACCACCCAGATTGGTTTCAGAACGAAATACAAGTGATGTCCCGGGAGAGTCTTTCCAGCCGCTGCTATTGGGAGGTCAGGGTCAGAGGGCGTGTCGAAGTTGGGGTGGCGTACCCAGGATTCCCATGGAAGTATGATAGTCCTGGCAATAAGAAGTCTTGGCTTCTCCACTGCTTCGGTATGGGTGACAACTCACTTTGTCACATCAGGAAGAGAGCCCGCCTGCAGAGGCTGCCCTTTGACTTAGAGACTCTGGGCGTGTACTTGGACTTCCAGGCTGGCACCCTGTCCTTCTACAAGGTCTCCCCAGACACCAAGACCCACTTGTACTCATACAGCATTGCCTTCACTGAGCAGCCCCATGCGTTGATCCGCCTGACGCTCCCTGCCTCTGCCTCCCTGCACAATATTTGATGGCCCAAAGAGGATGGGCATAGAACTGAGTAAGCATGGCATCAAAGGACAGCAAACCTCGAACCGTGAACCATGCCCTTACTGCTCATGATAAATACAGAATTCCTGTTACAGCGGTGTATGTTGTGAATTCATAAATCGTACGTATACAGTATGTTCACCCACCCATCCATCACCCACCATATGTCCATAGCAAAGGCATTGCAGCAGGAAGTTGTATAATAAACTAACACATTTCAAAGTAGTGGTGAACGTAGAATATTTATTTTGCAAATCTGCAATTGTGCTGACAGTTGTAAAACTTTGTTTTAAATTGTAATTTGGTTCCATTTTTTCAATAAGTTTGTCTGATTTTGATTAATTTCCTCTGTGTTGTATTTATATTTAATATTGTTTATATTTAAGAAGGGAAAGGGAATTGTATTTGATTAAGGGTTGTTTCCTTTATTTTTGTCTACATTTTGACTGCGGTCATTATACGTCATTTCCTGTATGCCGGCGGGAGAGTAATAAGTTGACATAAGCGGCTCTGGAGTTTTTGGACTGCACAAGGGGTTAAAGGAAGCATCTAGCAAGCATGCATTTTCAGTATCAAACTCCCCTCTTAGCTCAAAATTTAGCGAATATGTAATTGATGTATTTTGATTGTATTTGTCATATCGTTAGTTCTACGGTGTTTACGGCGGTGCTTAGGTGTTGTGAATAAACATCTGTGTTCAAGACACTTGGAACTTCGCGTTGTGACTACGAGCGGCAATTATAGAAAAAAATATGAAAACATTTTGATGAAACGGGTGAAAAATATTCTTCTGTGTCGGATACGGGTTTGGGTCGGACGCAGGACAACGCGGGTAGAAATTGCAGTTTTCAAAACATCATGTGGCAACAAAAAATGCCGTAGGGCTATGTTTTAGTGACACAAAAAATCCCTGCATTCAAGATGATAAAACGTAAAATTCATATCAGTTTATGCCTGCACGCGCATTCCCGGAAATCTCTCCCACTTTCATTTTCAAAAGACGCGAGCGATCTCCTGCAGCTGTTCGAAATGGATGCTTTGGAGTTGAAAAGAAAATTAGCAAGTGGAGAGTTTAAAGTTGTGTCCTAATACCTCCACTAAAATCAAGTCCGACGTCTGGGAGAATTCCGGAGTTATCTCAGATAACGAAAACAACTCGTTTTACGTCTTGGTGGAGAGAGCATGAGCGTTTGTTTCCCAATATTGCGAGATCTACTCTCGCCATCCCGGCATCCAGCGCCGCAAGTGAGCGAGATTTCTCATGTGCCGGACATGTTATCCAGGAGCGAATAAGTCAGCTGAGGCCATATATCCTTTTTTACCCAGTAATATAAAGCACGACACCAAACGCTATAGTCTTCGCCTTTGCGTAGGAATTGCAATCGGGTAATGAAACGAAAATTGAAAGTGCACCTAGGTAGCCTATAAAACCTAATAATGTGCAGGTAGCCTAATGTACATTTTATATAATTTTAGTTTTATTAACACATTTCATTGTAAACTGGTAAGGCGGGGTGAGGGTAAAATGCGGACTGTTTACAAACAATTTGGATTTTATGTTTATAAACAGACGTGTCGCAAATGACGCATGCCGCGTAGACAGATCACGTGGCATACAAAGAAACCCATACGACGTTACCTAATCACGAGGTGCGTTCGAGGTGTGTCTGCAGCTGACGTGACGTGGACCGCATTGCTGAGCTCCTCGAAGGCTCTTTTGTTTACGTCCGGCGGAATCCGCATTTTACCTTCACCCGTGGCCTGTGGCCTGTACTACGAAGCGGGGTTACTGGCTTATCGGGATAACTTGTTGGATTTAAGGTAGTGTGGGCAAAATGTAAGTGAGCGAATATGAAGTCCATTTAAACTGTGGTACCTTAAATCTGACAAGTTACCCCGATAAGCCAGTAACCCCGCTTCGTAGTACTGGCCACCGGTAAGGCGATGAGTGGGCATGGCAATATCAAACATCATTTGATTATTTATGCCTTTTCAACTGATGTTGCACATATGTCACTGGTCGTTTGTTGTGGCAATAAACTATTGTCTTTAATTTTGGCTATCTGACTGATTTTCATTCGGGTGCGGGTCGGGTGTAGGTATACTTATTTATAGCGGGTCGGATCGGGTGCGGACTTTTATTTCTGTCGGATAACGGTTCGGATACGGGTTTAAGTATGACGGGTGCGGTTTGTCAAAATCAGAACCGTGCAGGACTCTGCTGCCAGGTGCAGCAATAAAAATATAAATAATTTTCATATAAATCATGTTAATAATAAATTATTTATTTGACGCGACTTGATTACGTCATTTTTGCAGACGAATAGCGGAAATTTCTGCGGTACGGCGGTATAATCAAAATTTCTCCCGTTGGCCAGACTTCTATCGTATACCGTTTATACCGCACAGTACTAATCTCACGGCACCTATATGCACATTGTGCATTCGTAATTGCTTTGCATAAAAACAGCTTCACAGGCAAGGATTGTATTGTTCTTTTAATATGTTGGAAAGAGGAAAGAGAAGATTTAACCGGATAATGATGGAGTCCTTCGACTTTAAAAGATATTATTTCGCATAGGCCTTTAATGCCCAATATGCTTCAGAAGGAGTGACGTAAAATACAGGGTGTGGCCATAAATTTTACAGTCAAATGTGACATTACTTTAATGTTACCATTATGTACTACTCCCAGTTCGATGTGCTGTGAAGTTACTTAAACTAAGCCTGTTTTTTTTCTCCTTAGTCATTTCCTTTCTTAATTGTATCAGTGTAATTACCACACACTCGTGTTTTGTGGTGCTAAATGAAGCAAATTGTATTTGTTTCTGACAGACGACCGATTGTTTTATCTTCGGCCAAACCGCACAACATAAACATTGTTTATGCTGTGCAAATAAAAGTTCGTAACTATTATTTTGGTGTGATTTTTTTTGATTATTTTTTTTAGAAAATGCTGTACATATATCACAGCCCCTTGATAAGCAATATGGGTACACAAGATTGCTATACACCCGAATTTTATTACGTTTTCTAAAGAAAAGGCATCTATTCAGCAATACCATTAGGAAAAACCTTATGCAAGATTACTGTCAGGCACTAAAAGCCCAATGCCCAATGTGTTTCAGCACACAGATGCAAATATTACAATCGGCAAAGCAATATGGTTTAAATACCACAATAAAGTGACGGCTGAACTACAAATATAAACATCAATGACCCATCTCACAATACGTTAACAATGAATGATGATACACGATGTCCACGCCCTGAATCACGCAATCACGGTCTGCTGCAAAATGTGAATACATGCGCAGTATTGGGCATGTGGAAGTGTACATTACGCATGCGTAATAAAGAAGTGCCAGAAAATGTGGTTTCGTGGACGCATGCGTGATGAATGTCCACATGCGTAGTAGCGAAAGTTACATTTTCGGTAGATGTAACATTTTCGGTAGTGACAAGCATACCGGATTGTTCCATGCAACTATTTCTTTTCTCGCTGTACTTCGGACACCATTTCTCTGTAAGTGCATGGATTTATTTTGGATTGTGTTTAGTGAGGCAGATTTAGGGGTGAGGGTAAAATGCGGACTGTTTACAAACAATGGACTCCGTGTTTATAAACAGACGTGTCGCAAATGACGCACGCCGCGTAGACAGATCACGTGGCATAGAAAGAAACCCATATGACGTTACCTAATCACAGGGTGCGTTCGAGGTGTGTCTGCAGCTGACGTGACGTGGAGCGCGATCTGCCGTCGGCTGCAGGGGTGGAATATATGCTGGACGTAAACAAAGGAGTTTTTGAGGAGCTCAGCAAGGCGCAGCAACTGCGCGGTCTGCAGTGCAATTTTGTCATCCATGTTACAGAGTACAATACGATTGTCCGAAATCCTTATTGTTGTTAATGTTTAACAATTATTTTATTGTTGTTTTTTTTTTTTTTTAATTGAAAATGTTCTATATATCATTTGTTGAGTGTTCTCTAGTGGCGTATAATTTGCATTTGGACGTCCAGCTACCATGAACGTCACAGTTTGTGGGTGCCTCTTCTTGATGAATAAAATAAATCATAATAAATCCATCCATCCATTATCTGCCGCTTGTCCGGGGTTCGGGTCACAGGGGTAGACACCCAGACCTCTCTCTCCCCAGCTACCTCTACCAGCTCCTCGGGGAGGACACCGAGGCGTTCCCAGGCTAGCCGAGAGATATAATCCCTCCAGCGAGTCCTGGGCCT